TGAGTGCAATGGGAGAACAAGGCAGGGGGTGGATGTCAGGGGCTGGCCACCCAGCCACCCACCCAGCCACCCACCCTGCCACCCATCCAGCCATGGAGTAAGAAGGAAAGTAAGGTATACAGAAATAAGAAAGACAAAAGCCCAGAGGGAAAGGATAGAAGGGATAATTTAAGCAAAGCTATCTAGAAACAAGCCAAGCTAAGGCTGGACATTCATAACTAAGAATAAGCCTCATGTGTGATTCATTTGGGAGATGTATGGTGGGCCCCCCAAAAGAGAAAAAACTTCTTACTACAGTTGTGTTTGCTTCTTAGGTTAAGTGATTGTAAAAGTGAATTAACTCTAAGCACTCTGACTTGTATACAGGAAAATGCTATCAAGAGTTCATAGAATGAAGGAACACCTAATGGTCACCATCCGTCTACTATCAACGTTAGCTTCTCAGGCATGCATTCCTCTTTAATCTAGAAAGAAGAGGCTCAACCATAACTGCCAATTTTGTGGTATCGATGAATGATGAATGACCAACATCAGTCTCCATTCTTAGCAGAGAAATACAAAGTCTGATATCTTCTTGTGTTCTGAACAATCTTAGTTCCACCACATGGATATAAAATATTGATTTGGGCCCCAAAACAAATGAAATTTCAAACAACTTGAAAAATCTAATTCTGTTGTCTAATAGAAGGCTATGGTTAAAGATGTAAACACATTTAGCACATGGTGGAAATGATGCTGGACAAAAAAACAACAACAAAAAAAAGGCAAAAATAAGTCACAAAGACAAGGAACATCAGAAGAAATGTCCCAGACTAGAGGAAGAAGGAACACTTTGAGAAAGAGGTGTTGGAAATAGCAAACTTGAAAAAGAGTGGGTGGGATGTGACAGTAAAAGGAGGTGACCAAATTACAGGATAGCAAATTGAAATTTGATTCAAACATATACACAAATGCTGCCTGTCATATGGCCTGTTTCCAAACTGTTTGGAAGATATATTTAAAGTAAATATAATCAGTTACCCATTCTATTTTTGACAGTAATGTTAACTATTAATAGGAAAAATATATATAGTATATTTGTAGGCTCAAATGTGTGTTCCAGTATTTCATTATCATTTATCATTGCAGAATGTTGCCTTTAGCACTCATGAGTAGTAAAATAGAGACAACTATGAATTTTTTTATTTGTCTGCTTTTAAAATATCTACTGTCAGACATAATATTAGGCATTTTATCTGCATTTAACATACATAGTATTCAATCAATCTGCATATTAAAATGTATTTTCCCATCTATAGGGGGAAAATGTTATCAACAAGTTTTGAAAAAGAAATAATAATGCTTTTCAGTAGGAAATCAGAGGCCAACCTTACTGTTAGAAGTGATAAGAAAAAATTTATAGAACAGAGAGTTAACTATTATGACTGTGTGAAGCCCCAAAATATCAAAGCATATCTTAAAATGATGAAATATTTTGGCTAATCACACTTTTTGTAATATAACATATTTTCCCTTTCTTATTCCTAAATTAAAGTTTCAAATTATAGCTCTTCCTGTGAAATTTTCTGTCTATTGTGAAGTTTTGATGTTGCTTTCTTAGAAGCACACTCTCCATGGTAAAATTAAGTGGATATTCTAGGCTGTGATTTGGTAGTGTGGGTGCATGCTCTTGTGTGTAGGTGTGATTCCATGTGTGTAAGTACACATTCATGTGCAGGTGTCTCAGGCATGTTATGTAAGTAGTCCTCTCCTTACCAATGCAGACAACAACTCTCCCTTCAAAGCTAGTAAGAGGTCATTGACTCTGGAGACTAACTGTAGTGACTGTGGGCTTAGAACATAGGTTTAGTTTAACACACATTCCATGTTCTAATGTGGTTGCAGGTATCATTAAACTTGCATATTAATAGAACAAAGAAAGAAATACATCAAGACATTTTTGGAAATGTAATAGAAGCATCAGAGAACAGAGGAAGCTTTCTTACAGGTCTCAGAGACCTCAAACTCTATTCTTAGCTTTTGGGTTGGGGAAAGCTAATAGTCTGCTAAGTTAGTAGATTTATAAGTTGTTTTAAAATACTATTGGTTATAAGATCTTCACTAACGCGGTTCCCATGCCCTAATTGGGGGCAACTGACACCAGAGATCTGCTCACTAGACCCGAACTTGGCCAGCCGACTCGAGACTGCCAAGGCCCCCTCCATCCACCAGCCCGGGGAGCATAGGGGCTGCAGGTGGTTTGAGTTTCTCTGCCCCAGTCTGGGGCAACTGACACCAGAGGTCTGCTCACGGGATCCAAACTCTAGCACACCAAGAGACTGCCAAGGCCCCTGTGACAGTCCTTCCTCCATCCAGGAGAAGAGGACAAAGATCAGAGTGTTAGAACTGTTTGCATCTACCAGGAGGAATCCTTGGCCCCATACTCACCAGGACAAGAAGAGATTCCTGGTTCACCCACCAGAAGAAAGGATGGGAAGAAGACAATATAAAAGCACATTCAAAAACAGAAACACCAAAATGACAGCACTGAGACTAGGGACCATACACCAGCAAGACCAGAACATCACAATGCAGATGAAGCAGTGGAAACTAAGAGAACAATACAAAGAATCAATGAAACAAAGAATAGGTTCTTTGAGAATATCAACAAGATAGACAAACAAACCTTTATCCAAACTTACCTAATGGCAGAGAATGAACATGCAAATTAATAAAATCAGCAATGAAAATGGGGACATAACAACAGACACAGAGGAAATCCAGAGAATCATCAGGTCAGACTTCTAAAAACTGTGTTGCTCAAAGTTCAAAAATCTAAAGGAAATGGACAATTTTCTGGACAGATTTCACTTACCAAAATTAAATCAAGAACAGATAAGCAACTTAAATAGACCTATAACCCCTAATGAAATAGAAGCAGTCATCAGAAGTCTCCCCCCCCCAAAAAAAAGCCGAGGGCCAGATGGCTTCACTGCAGATACTACCAGAAATTCAACAAGAGCTGATACAAGTCCTCCTCAAACTGTTCCACACCATAGAAGCAGAAGGGTCATTGCCAAACTCTTTTTATGAGGCTTCAATAACCTTGAACCCCAAGCCACAAAAAGACACAACTAAGAAAGAGAACTACAGACCAATATCCCTCATGAACATTGATGCAAAAATACTCAATAAAATACAGGCAAATCCATTCCAAGAACATATCAAAGAAAATCATCCACCATTATCCAGTAGGCTTTATCCCAGGAAGGTAAGAATGGTTTAACATATGAAAATCCATCAATGTAATCCCCCATATAAACAGACTGAAAAAAAAAAAAAACCATGATCATCTCACTAGACGCTGAAAAAGCCTTTGACAAAATCCAACACCCCTTCATGATAAAGGTCTTGGAGAGATCAGGGATAACTGGAAGATAACATAATAAAAGCAATATACAGAAAGCCAACAGTCAACATCAAACTAAATGGAGAGAAATTCAATGCAATTCTCTCTAAAATCGGGGACCTGTAAGACCTGTACCATAAGAATTTGAGTCTCTAAAGAAAGAAATTAAAGAAGATACAAGAAAACAGAAGCATCCGCCATGTTTTTGGATAGGTAAGATCACAGTAAAAATGGCAATCTTGCCAAAAGCAATCTACAGATTCAATGCAATCCCCATCAAAATCCCAACATAATTCTTCACAGAGCTTGAAATAACAATTCCCAGCTTTATATAGGAAAATAAAAGACCAAGGATAGCTAAAATACCCCTGTACAATAAACAAACTTCTGGAGGCATAACCATCCCTGAGTTCAAGCTCTATTACAGAGCTATAGTTCTGAAAACAGCCTGGTGTTGGCACAAAAATAGACAGGTAGACCAATGGAACTGAATTGAAAACCCTGATATGAATACACACACCTAGGAACAAATTGATTTTTAACAAAGAAGATAAATTTATACAAAAGAATAAAGAAAGCATCTTCAATAAATGGTGTTGGAATAACTGGATGCTGGAATGTAGAAGACTGCAGATAGATCCATATCTATCATCATGCAGAAAATTTAAGTCGAAATGGATCAAAGACCTCAACATCAATCCAGCCACACTGAACCTATTAGAAGACAAAGTTGGAAATACCCTTGAATTCATTGGAACAGGAGAGTGCTTCCTAAGCATTACACCAGTAGCACAGACACTGAGATCAAAAATTGATAAATGGGACATGTTGAAACTGAAAGCTTCTGTAAGGCTAAGGGCACTGTCAGTAAGACAAAACGGCAGCCCACAGATTGGGAAAAGTTATTCACCAACCCCACATCTGACAGAGGGCTGATATCCAAAATATACAAAGAACTCAAGAAGTAAGTCCCCAAAATACCAAACAATGCAATTAAAAACTGGGGTACAGTGATGGGGGAAATACTTCTGTGTATGTTTATAAATAAAGTACTTGCTTGGCCAATGAGACAGCAGGTTAGGCTGGACTAGGAGTCAAAGAGGATTCTGGGAAATGTAGTAGAGAAGTAGTGTTCCAGACAGGAAGTGACATAGCAAGGAGACTCATATTTAAGAAGAGGAAAAAGGAAGTGTTGCTCTCTTTCCCCTCGGCTCCTGCTCCATCCTGCTCCATCCTGCTCCAGCGGCAAGATGTGATCCACCAGCTAGGAGGGACGCCAATAAGGCGTCCGATAAGATAAGTCTTATAAAATATATAGATTTATGATGATTGATACTGAGCTAACAGATAAAAATCCTAGTCATTGGCCAAGCAACATTGTAACTAATACAAGTCTCTCTGTGTATTCATTTGGGCCTAACTTGGGCAGGCGGCTGCCATAAAGCTTACACGTGGCGGTGGGGCTCAGCGGCTTTTGGCAGAAAGATTTATCATAACAGTACAGTTTCTGGTAAAAGCCAGAAACTGGAAGCAGCCTAGATGCCCCTCTACCAAAGAATGGATAGAGAAAATGTGGTACATTTACACAATGTACTACATAGCAGAAAAAAAAATTGAATCTTGAAATTTGCAGGAAAATGGATGGAACTCGAAGAAACCATTCTGAGCAAGGTAACCCAATCACAAAAAGACAAACATGATATGTACTCACTCATATGTGAATTTGAGGCATAAGGTAATAATTCCCAGCCTACAATCCACACTGCCAGAGAAACTAGTAAACAAGGAGGACCCTAAAAGAGACAAACATTGTCCCCTGGAGAAGGGTAAAGGGTCACCATCCCCTGAGCAAATTGAGAGCACGGGAAGAGTGGGGAGGAAGCTACAAGAATGAGAAGGGGAGCAGAGAGGGGTGCAGAGGTCATGAGGGAGCAGAAAGGTTGAGTCAGGTAAAGAATAGAAGAAAGGATATGTGATAGGTAGGGTTTTAGTTGGGGAGGTGGTAGGGGAGGAAGGGAGGGAGAAGGGAACTGGGATTGTCATGTAAATCAATCTTGTTTCTAATTCAAATAAAAAAGATAAAAAAAAATCATAAAAAGAAAAAATAAAGTACATAGGAATATGAAAAAAAGTAGTGTACAGAAATAGACAATTCTCAACAGAGGAATCTAAAATGGCTAAAAGGCACATAAGAAAGTGTTCAACATCCTTAGCTATCAGAGAAATGCAAATCAGAACAACTCTGAGATACAATCTTACCCCTGTCAGAATGGCCAAAATAAAAAACACCAATGACAGTTTATGCTGGAGAAGATATGGAGAAAGGGAAACAACACTTCTCTACTGCTGTTGGGAGTGCCATCTTGTACAGCCACTTTGAAAATCAGTATGGCGACTCCTCAGGAAAATGCAAATCAGTCTACCACAAGATCCAGGAATCCCACTCTTAGGCATATACCCAAAAGAAACACATTCATACAACAAGGACATCTGTTCAATGATGTTCATAGCAGCATTATTTGTAATACCCAGAACCTGGAAGCAACCTAGATGCCCCTCATCTGAAGAATGGATAGAGAAAATGTGGTACATTTACAAAATGGAGTACTACTCAGGCAGGGGGGGCGGAACAATGGAATATTGAAATTTGCAGGAAAATGGATGGAACTATAAGAAAACATTCTGAGCAAGGTAACCCAATCATAAAAAGACAAACATGGTATGTTCTCACTCATATTTTAGACATAGAGTAAAGGATTACCAGCCTACAATCCACACTGCCAGAGAAGCTAGTAAACAAGGAGGACCCTAAGAGAGACATACAAGGCCCCCTGGAGAAGGGCAAAGGGACAAGATCTCCTGAGCAAATTGGGAGCAAGGGAAGAGGGGGGAGGGAGCTAGGAGAATGAGAAGGGGAGAAGAGGAGGGATGAGGAGGACATGAGGGAGCAGAAAGGTTGAGTCAGGGGAAGAATAGAAGAAAACAAGAAATGAGATACCATAACAGAGGGAGTCATTTTAGGTTTACAGAGAAATCAAGCACTAGGGATAGGTCTGGAGATCTACCAAGATAGCACCAACTAACAATCTAAGCAACAGAGGAGAGGCTATGTTAAATGCCTTCCCCTGTTAATGAGATTAATGACTGTGTTATATGCCATCCTTTAGCTTTCATCAAGCAGCTTGTAGAAGTAGAAGCAGACACCCACAGCTAATCACTGAACTGAATCCAGATGCAGAGAAGGATGAGTGAAGAGCAAAGGGGTCCAGACCAGGCTGGTGAAACCCACAGAAACTGCTGACCTGAACAATGGGGGTCTCTTGTTCCCCACACTGATAGCTGGGATACCAATATAGGACTGATCCAGACCCCAGGAAAATGGGTTTCAATGAGGAGACCTAGGAAATCTATGGGACCTCCTGTACTTATCCCTAGCATAGCTGTGGACTTTGGGAGCCCAATCCACATAGAGGGATACTCCTTGAGCCAAGACACACAGGGGTGGGCCTAGGCCCTATCCCAAAGGATACAATAGACTCTGATGACCCCCTACGGAAGGCCTCACCTTCCTGGGGAGCAGAAAGGATTTGTGATAGCTAGGATTTAGTTGGGGGAGGGAAGGTAGGGGGAGCTGAGGGAGTGGGAACTGGGATTGACATGTAAAACAAACTTGTTTATAATTCAAATAAAAGATGGAGAAAAACAAAGATTGTCACTAAGACACATTATTGGGCAGACAATGGCTATTTAGGGAATTAAATGTTGCTAGAGATAAGGTAATTAGCCCCTGGAAATGAAACACTCTGACCTCTCTATAAAAGGTAAGTTCCATTCAGTCAATCAGTCTCTGTAGACACAGCTTTCCCTAGGAATTCTCTTTACATTCTCAGCTCCATTACTTGATTTTTTTAATGTGGATATTTTTGCAGGTGATACAAAAGGATACATTACCATTAAGCCCCAAATGGTTTCTTAAGAGTGTCTTTTGTTTGGTAAGTTCCATTTTTGTACTTCTGTGTCATCTTGACTGTTTCTCATTTTCCATAAATGTTGGGGAATCATATCTGTCAGTATTTGGAGTATATGTTAAGAATCTCACCTTTGTGGCATTTGTCAACTCCCTGGCTCAGCTGCTTAATATCTATCAATATAATTCTTTTTTCTACTTGAACTCAAGAATGTTGGATAGCCTAGGAACAAATAAATAAGGCATTTTCTCATTGAATGCTCATGGGTAATTTTAGTTTTCTGACATTTGATTGGTTAGAATTTTTTTTAACTAGGGAGGGAGTGAGACCTGTGCCAAGAAAACATAGTTAAGCATACTTTTCAAAAAGGAAATATTATTATGGTAGTATTAAATGAACACCTGGTTTTATTCAACCCATTTTTAAATAACAAGAAAGACAATGGATATTTTAAATAAACACCCACACAAATACTAAAGAATCAGGTATTCATTAGCAATTTACTCCGGGTTTGCTGAAAAAAAAATATTGTATGAGATACAAAATTGCTTAATGTCCTAATTTTATGCCATTTTTAAATCAAAACTTGGTCTCGCATCTCTTCTAAACAAAAGTCAACAGGTTGCTTTTTCTGCACAGTGATAAAATAGCTTTATCACTCTAAGGAAGCTCATAACTACAAAGAAGATAGTACCCCATAGGAGCTGCCTCTTTTCACATTCCAGTTGTTTTTTCTAACTCTAGGTCTGTGGAGATACAGAGCTGGCTTAGTATAGGCTCCTCTTGAATCAAATTAGGCAAAGTTTGAAGCATGAGACTTGCTATACCAAGAATAGCTAGAAGCATACTTCTGCCGACATGTTTCAAATGGTATGCTGGAATTTGTTACTCACGATAAGAAAGTGGCTCTCAGGGTCAGGGAACTGTGCTTCACTGTTGTATAGATACAGGGAATTGCTTATTGCTACATAGTACTTTAAATATAGTAGAGGCATTGTTTCATACGGGGAGAGAACTCCTGATGCCTTGTGTGGTATTGTGGGTTTGAAGATTGTGAGATAGATTGCATAAGCTTATTTTAAAACTTCTACAAAAAATAAAGTTTGACATTCAGTTGCATTCCCTGTGTCCTGATTTCAAGGAGACCTTACCCAGGGATCACAACACACTAAAACATTGACACAGGTCTTCTCTTTTAGCGACTTTTTATTTTATCTTTTTCATTCTCTACTGGACTGTGTATTTCTTTTTGACATTCTGCTGCTGTCAGCACAGGTATACCTGGGGTATTCTTATCAAGATTTTTCCTCAGAAACAAGAGTTGTGTTGAGAATTTTTAAGGAAACTCTGATACCATACCTTCAATGTCTTGCATGGTGCCTCTCAATGGGAATATTAAATCAAAGAAAATAATCAGTGTATGAGCCAGCATTTTTCTCTATATTTCTGACCGAACCATAACATTTTGTTTACAACAACTCATTTTATATGTGCCACACTATTATCAGATCATCATTTTCCCTGGAAATCCGAGGAATGTAAGCTTTATGTATCAGGTATATTAACAAAATAAATTGTTTTCATAGCAATTATAGCATTCAGAAAAGGTTACCATGTTACAGGACAGTATTCAATATCAATCATTTCTATGAAATTAATCACATTTTGGTGGTGGGTAAGGACAGAAGATAGAGGACTGGAGGCAGACCTATGACTATAGCTATGAAGACAGTGAACTTTCCTTATGAACTTGCTCAGTGGGGCTCCATCTGCTCTACTTTATATCCCCAGTGTACCATGGCATCTTCCTCTGAACTCAGTTGCTGTAACATACCATGTAGACATGAAGTCTTGCCAGTTGTGATTATCTCCCAAATATTATAACTCAAGGACACTCATTGATATGGGTAGATTATAACACTATTAAATGAAGTTTGTGATAGACCCCTTCAGAAACATATTCTAACAATTTCTGCATCTCAGAGTTAACCTATTTTTGTTCCTTTTAGGTTACTGAATATATTGCCCATTAACAACAGCTTGTATTCAATGAATCCTTATAACAATTTTAACATATGTTTGGTTGTTCTTTCTAAGAGACAATGGCCATCAAAGCTGAATATATTGTCAAAATAAATCACTGTGGTAAATATGCCTTCCAATTTGTTTGTATGTCTTTAGAGGATGAATCAAACAAAATTTTGAGTTCAATCAACATCATCATGTAGACTATCTCAGGACAGGGATTATTTGAAATATTTTGAAATATGGAAAACTTGAATAGAAATAAGGTATAATATTTGTTTGATATAGACATAATTTCTGAAAAGATTATTGCAAGTTGAGTTTCCCAAGCTTTAATATGATGAAAATGTTTCCAATTTTAATACTAAAAAGAAGCAAAATGTCAAAGATAAATGTATAAATAGTATGCCTAAACTTAAATTCTATACTGAAGGTAAGTTTAAACTCTCATTTTTATGTGTCATTGATTTTGTAACACTTTTATCCTATGGCATACATATGAATAATTGTATATTTAACCATTTGTATGGTTTTTAATACATAATTAACAAATATGCATGTGACACATATTCAACATATTTCCTTTGCTTAGTGAATGAAATAATTTCTGTGAGATAACTCTTTAGTGGATTTTAGAATTTATATGCCCTTGACTTATGCACACAACTGTGATGTGATTAAGCAACAAATTCTTACCTCAGAATAAATTTTATGATAGAAGATTCAAAAATAGAAATCTGACATTCCTTTTTAAGTTTTCCAGTTTGGTGAAATATTGTTTTTCTTTGAGTAATTACTTATCATTTTCTGAATTTCCTTTGTGTATATTGTAATTCCCCTCTTTTCTATCTGTAGTTTTATTAATTTTGATTCTTTAGTTCATTGATTCTTCCTATTATTATTATTAGTTGATGTTTCTATCCCATCAATTTCTGACCAGAATTTAGTTATTTTTCCTAGTCTTCCTATGTTAGATGCTATTTCTTAATTTCTAGACCTTTCCACTGTGTCACTATCTTATTGATAAAAGATCTTCTCTTAGTTGGGATTACTATTGCTGTGATGAAACTCCATGAATAAAAAATTTTGGGAAGGAAAGGGTTTGTTCCTTTGCTGTTCCATATAACAGTTTGTCATCAAAAGTAGTAAGGGCAAGAACTCAAACAGGACAGGAACCTGGAGACAGGAGTTGATGCAGAGGCCATTGGTGCAATTTCCTGGCTTTTCCGCAGTTTTCTCAGCCTGCTTTCTTATAGAACCCAGGACCATCAGCCCAGGCAAGGCCCCACCTACAATTTACTGGGTCTTTCTCCATCTGTCACTAATTAAGAAAATACTGTACAACTGGCTCTTATGGAAGCCTTTTCTCAACTGAGGTTCTTTCTTTTCAGATAAAGCTATCTTGTGTTAAGTTGACATAAATCTAGTCCATACAGATAACCCTAGTTTTGTTTTTCTTTTATTTTTTTCGTACTGCTTTCATAGTTTAGATGTGCTGTGTTTTATTTTTCATTCTATTCAAAAAAGATTTTAATTTCTTTCTTGACATTTTTCTAGGCCCAATTTTCATTCAATAGTGAGTTTTTCAACTTCCATTTGTTGTATACATTCTGTTGTTTCTATTGTCTTTTCTGTCCATGTTGATTATCTTGTGGTGATCAGATAGGATACTGGGTATTATTTCAATTTTATGCTATCTGCTGAGACTTGTTTTGTATCCTGATGTGTAGGGAATTTTAAAGAAAATTCCCTGAAGTTCAGAAAAGAAAGTGTATTTATTAGTGTTTGGGTGGAATGTTTTATACATTTCTGTTATAGCCACGTGGTTTATGATGGTATTATTTTGACTTGGATGTTCATGCTTGTGTTTTAGACTGGGATCTAGGAATCTGGAATCATGAATTTTGAAGTGTGTCTTGGTATAGATATCTGCTCTCATCTTTTCTCAGTGGGTGTTATGGATTTGGTTATTGTTGACCACTACCTGTTTTAGTTCAGTGGAATGCCTGTGAGTGTCTCTGAGCCCCAGGATGTTCCAGTTGCTGTGGATCTCTGATACAGAGATGGTTTCGAAGAAGATGCTGAAATGGTTGACAGGAAATTGTTAAGGGGTTCCTAAGTCTGCATGAAGATGACAGGTCCCAAGGGAATATTTAAAGCGTGTTTTCAAAGAAAATTTTAATATACAATGTGATAGGGTATTTGGGTAGATGAAATTACCTTCATTTATGGTTTAGAAATCACAAAGTAACCATGAAGTTCTTGAAGGAAGTTGAAGTAAGCTTATCTTTTCTTTTCTACATATAGAACACAATACCTGATCTAATTGCTTTCATTAGATTTTGATAACTTACCAATTATAGGAATATCCCACTGAATCTAATCACATGAGTTTTAACACATGATTGTAAGTTACTTGTTACTTCATTGAATACCCTCTGGGTTTGAACCTCAGTGAATTAGTGGGTATATCCATCAAGAAATTGGAATAGGAGTCTGGAACATGGAATTTAGGGGGTTATTTCATTGTACTCTATTCTCCCTGCCTCAGTGACTTTCAATTGGAGTTTTGAACAGTCACAAAAGAAGACTGACTTCCAACAGCCATTATAAAAAGCCTACAAATGGAACTCAAGTAAATTATATCAACTAATATCAGTTCTACATCCAGTCCTATCAACCAGTCAAATGAGAGTACCCCAGGACAAGTCCATATGATACTGAAACACCAGCAAGTGACTCTTATTGACACCATATGAGTCAGAAGTGACAGTCACTCCAGTCCCTTACTTCCCCCCACACACTATTGAGAGCTATCTTAAGATAAATGTGGTTTTGCTCATCATTTCTTGAAATAAACTTTACTCAGCAATAAATATATGAGATAGTTTCTTATGCTCCTCAGAGTCAATATTCAGAAAAAAGAATCAATTATGAATAACTTAGAGAAGCTACATTACTGTGTAATACTGTTTAATGACTGATTTTTCCAAGCTTCT